GAGCCCAGAGTAGGCCATTTCTGCACATCTCATCTTCCAAGTCTGGGAGCAGAGTTCTATGTGAGTAGCGGCTCTTACACCCCTCCTGAGAAACATCCCAGCAAAATAATCTCTTATAACTGTGGTTTTGAGAATAGAACAAGACTATTGTTGTGTGTGGCCTGATTTCATTTCAGTGATTGTCCCAGTGAAGAATGACATCACCCCATTCTTTTTTCTTGATCACCACTTGTGAATGTCCCTGAGCCCCCACCATCTTCATAATTAAGCTCTATCCCCCCCACTCCCAGCTCCCGGCTGCCAGGAGAAAAACTATTTTCTTCCTAACTTCCTGCCTGAATGTATTATTATGGCAAGAGCAAAGGGTTTTCCTCTGGTCAGCCAGCATGCCTGCCGTCTGTGTCTTCATCATATCAAACAAAGCACTATTCTGTGGGTACCTAAGGCTTACTGAGAGGGTCATCTACTGGGACAGGTCTCTGTCTGATGAGAATATAGAGAAGCCAGATAAATACAGTGTAACCTGAGGGGCACAATATTTCTCATTTCACTAGCTCACCAGGCGGTGGGTGTAGCTCAGTGTTAGAGCTACTACTGCATGTGTGAGACCCTGTGTTGGATTGCTAGCACTGCAAAAACAGAAACACCCCCTCCTCTGCCTCCATGAATCCACTGGCTTTAAAGATGTACTACCTAAATGGACTCATTTAATTATGCACATATATGTGTGCAAATGCGTGTGTTTTTACATTCTAACCCTTGTGTATTGCTCAGACTGCTACTGAAAAACACATGACAGTCTTTTTGTCTTAAAGGGATAAGAGGCTGATGTAGGAAAAGATGCTACTTTAAAAACTGGCATTGGATGGGGCTGAGATTGTGGCTCAGTGGTAGAATGCTCTTCTCGCATGTGTGAGGCACTGAGTTCGATCCTCAGCACCACACAAAAATAAATGAAATAAAGGTATTGTGTCTATCTACTACTAAAAACAAACAAACAAACAAAAAAAAAAAAAACTGACATTAGAGCTTAGTACAGTGTTGCACACCTGTAATCCCAGCAGCTTAGGAGGCTGAGGCAGGAGGATCTCAAGTTCAAAGCCAGCCTCAGCAACTTAGCAAGACCCTGTCTCAAAATAAAACATAAAAAGGGCCAGGGATATAGCTCAATAGTTAAGTGCCCCTAGGTTCAATCCTTGGTACCAAACAAAACAAACCATTGGCCCTATCTGAGAGAAGGCATTGACTCTGTTTTTGGATTGTTAACTCTTGCAGGGAAAAAGCAAAACAAATGCTCTGTCCCACACCATGCAATAGACCTTGATGCACAAATTTAAAAGAAAAATGAAGAGAAGGCAGAAAATTTAAACTGTCTTGCTATAAAGATAAGACAAGAAAGATATCAATCCTGTATTCTATGTTTCAAGTTATGTAAAGTGTTAGATAATACCATTTTAAGTTGCTGCTTTTGGGGATGGGGGCATAGCTCAGTGGTTGAGTGTTTGCCTAGCATGCATGAGGATCTGGGCCCCAAACCCAGCACTGCAAAACTAAATAAATAAACAAATAATAAATAAATTAATAAGTAAATAAAAGAATAGCCAAACAGCAGCGATTTTCTATTATTCTACCTAGAATATATCCACAAAGACTGGCTTGATGTACATATAGCTTATTGTTTTTTTAACTCTATAAAAAAATTTCATGTTAGGCAGTAATTGTTTTACAATGAAAACATGCTTTTAAAATGATGTTAAAGGGGGCTGGGGTTGTGGCTCAGTGGCAGAGCGCTTGCCTCGCACATGTGAGGCACTGGGTTCGATCCTCAGCACCACATAAAAATGAATAAACGAAATAAAGATATTTAAAAAAATAAATAAATAAATAAAATAAAATGATGTTAGAGTTCTGTTGCCTTCTTTAATGAGCAATGTATAAAGACAATAAGGGTGCTCACAAAGATGAAGAGTCTGTTTCACATACAGCACCCCCACATTCAGAACTCAATTCTGCAAAGATTTAAATGCTTACTAGATAACCATGATCTTAGAGTTTTTAGGGTCCACATTTACTATTGATTCCTTAAAAAGATGTAATTTATTATTGTAATTGATGGAGAATTTTGAAGTCAAATAAACAATTGATGTATTAAATTTGCCTTAAAATACAATATTATTAAAAATTAAAGTGCTAGGAAGGCACAGCTAAGGCATAGTTATGGTGATAAAAATTTCCATCCCAAATAGGCATTAACAGGGCTAAGCAATTTCCTTACAAACAACGTAGCCACTGTTCTAAATGATCCCATCTGTGTGCACCAAACCTTGTCCGACAGCGCAATATTAGAGGCCAGAAGGTACAATAACAGCCATTCATATTTTGGCAGGTGCATTTCAAGCTGAAAACCAGGTTCCACAAAAAAAAATTGCAATCTGTTCCTCGGGTGTAAATATTTTTGATGAGATTTAATTGCCTTTTTGGTGTCTTATTATATTACCTTTCCTTAAAACAAGAGATAATCTTCTGCCAACCCAGAGTGGAAATGTCTGAGATTTGTTTATAATAATATCTCCTGGTTCTATTTCTTGAGTTATGTACGTTGGAGGTGACAAAAATTTCAAAAAGCTACAGATGAGCAGTTCTTAGGACAGAAAAAATATTAAATTGAAGAACGTGATACCCAGATGACATGAGCAGAGGGGTAATAAAAAAATGTGCAGGGCAGCATTCTGAAGCCATATGGTCCAGTAAAGTGGTCCTTATTTTATAAACCTGACTGTCCAAGCACTAAAAGGACTGATTTCTTTCTACAAAATATGCTGGCTGAGAGGACTGTGGATGTGTGAATACAGATGTACCAAATGACTCAGCTGCTTATCTCATCTAGCTCAAATGACGGAGTTGGATGAGGAGGGACAGAGGTCTTGAAAGCCAGCAGTCAGTTAGACATTGTATTTGAAATTTCCAGCCCAAAAATGGAAAAAGCAGATCAACGCCAGCTCTCACAGGGAACCCGCAGAGTTTTAAGAAATAAGTGTCCTGCCTGTTAAATTTGAGCAAGTGACTCTGATCCAGTATTTGAGAAACACTTATTTCTGTTTTCCCATAGAGTATGCAAAAAAAAAAAAAAAATGAAAAGGATGTAATGCTTCAAGGGGTGGATTTAGCCATGAATGGGAGGAAAGTGTGAAGTGAAAGATTACTGGCTACATAACAAACAACACAGAGTTCCAGAAAAGTGACCTTTTCATTGCACAAAAGAAACCAAGATAGATGCTTTGATGAATCAGGTCTTCAGTAATCTCCCGGGATGAAGGGTGGCCTCCAGTACTCAAGTGTTTTAGATCTTCTATAGTTTCTATACTACAGGCCAACCTCTTTCTTTTCCACAGAAACAATGATGTCCTGGGCTAGAGGTTTATCAAGAAATGCTTGGCAAACTGACTCAAGAAGATAAAGAACTTCAATGAAGTCACACTTTATGAACTTTATCTATGTTTATCCTTTTTAGTTTCTGTTTGGAATATTTCCTGAGATCTTCCTTTTAACTTGTCTTCTGTTACTACTGATTGAGCTTGTGGGTGACAAACATGTGACACAGGGTAGTTATCAGCCATTCATGGTAATACTCCAGCCCTTCTGCAGAGAAAGCTCTGAGAACAGAAGGAAAACTGCTGATGCTTATGATGTGACGTCAAGGCCACTCCCTAGATGCTGGACACTTCCAGCCATTCCTCTTCTTCATGTGTCATTTGTTGAAGGAAGACAAACTGTTTAATTTCATAAGCATTAGAAGAGCTGGATAAAACAACCCACAAAGACAAACCTGAAATTCAGGCCAGACCTGAAGGTTTTGTCTTTTTGTGTGAGGTTCATGAACTTTTTGGTGATTAGAGGATGGTTCCAGGTCAACCTGGGCCAAGGTAAGACTTCCAAGGGAAATCAAGGAAAATGCAGTGATGTTGAGAGTAGCAATTTGAAACCAGAAGAACTCAATGGTTTCCATTGCATTAGTTTTGGTTGGGGTAGAGTTGACATTTGAGAAAAGATTCGTGGGAGGGTTAACTCATAAGAAGGCAAACTCCTCAGAATTTTTTGCAAATGCTGAGGTGGGTCTCCATAACTCTCCCCAGTTGCAACACTCTAGGCAAGAAACTGTGAAGACCAGCTATGAACATAGGACAAGTGACATCCGTGCAGTTGTCACTCTTGAGACTGCAGATGACTAAGGGCAACTGGCCTGCCATTCCTTGTCTCTCTAATCCCTGAGATTCCTAAACAGCTTGTAATATTTTAATAAAGTCATAGGATTTTGTAGATTCCTAGTTTTCAGATGGTTCTCCTAACATTCCTGAGGACTGATGTCATGACATGGCTCTGACACATTTTAAAGTCTTTTTTAGTTCCTTCAGCCAAGAAGATTGAGAATGCTACAGGAAAGTGTAGAGTCAGACCCCCAATTTTGGCTAGTTTTTACTATTCTCCATCCAGGAAATGATAAAGAGAATATGGTATACATACTCAAGGGGATTTTGTTCAGCCACAAAGAAAAATAAAATTATGTCATTTGCATATGAAATCATGTCATTTTCAGGAAAATGGATGGAACTTGAGAACATTATGTTAAGCGAAATGAGCCAAATTCAGAAGGTCAAGGGTCTTATGCTTTCTCTCCTATGTGAAAGCTAGACAGGAAAAAAAAAAAGTAAGGTTGGGTGGGGAAATTTTATGAAAATCAAGAGTAGAGGAAAGGGACCAGGGATTGAGAGGTGGTGGATGGAGCAGGGGAGGGCTGAAGAGAGATATTCACCAAATTATAGAGAGATATTCACCACGTGTGCATGTACAAACATATAACAACAAATCCCATCATTATGTACAACTAAAGTGCACCAATAAAAAATGTGGAAAGGGAAAAAACTCCCTCTTTAAATGACAGAGTGCTCAGGTGGCCTTTAGTTTATAATTAGTTAAGAGAGAAAAAAACTTGGTATGTGTACCTTTGAAGATTTTCTACAGTTATTCTGCCTTGAAGAATCTGCATATCATTTGCTGAATTCACCGTCCCCAAGCTGATGGTGGGTGACTGGGTGACCGTCACACCTGCAATGGAGAGGAACACAGTGCCATCAGTTGCATTTTGTTAGCAATTTTTCTCATCTCTCAGATGTTGCCCTTTCATAACCTCAAAGGAAGAAGATCATTAGGAATAATATTCTTCAAATTTTATCAGAACTGATTTTTTTTTTTTGGTGGTGCTGGGGATTGAACCCAGGGTCTTGGGCATGGAAAGCAAGCATTCTACCAACTGAGCTATATCCGCATCCCTAGAACTGCTTTTTTTGATGACCACTTGTTAGATTGTTGGAAGTACCATGGGTGACTCAGTCCTTTTGCAGAAGTTTCCATTTTCACTTCCTCTTCATCAAGGGAAAAATTGTCCATTAGATTCATTTCATATTATTCTTTGGTTGGATTTCATAGATGCAATAAAGAAGAATTTCACTTTAAAAGTTTACAAAGTATTCCCAGTTTAAAGGTTGAGTGGCATCTAATTTCAGGTTATGAGATCTATTTTAAAGGAAATGTGCTGAATCATAAAATCTTTTAAACTTGCTTCAAGTTATTATTTGATGAGTAGCAAAGTAAGCATTTACAAATGATTAAATGTGTTCATACTCTGGATTTATGACAGCTGGAAAATGTGGCTAAAATAGATGTAGATTTTTTGAATAAGAGGAAAACCCATTTTCATGCATTAAGTAGTTCACGAAGTGATCTGACTGCTATGAATAACATTCTAATATCTACACATCCTATAAGTGTATACAGGATATACAAGACAGGGAAAGAAGTATACAAGAATAGGAAAATGACAGACTCCATTTAACGATTCAAAACAATATCCTTTGCATTTAAAAAAGTATTTCTCTTGCCCATAAAAATATTAACATTTAATAAAGCATTTCAGCTGGGGTGCAGTGATGCATACCTATAATCCCAACTACTCCTAGTTCCTTGGGAAGATGAGGCAAGAGGATTGCAAATTCGAGTCCAGCCTAGACAACTTAGTGAAATAAAAAAATAAAATAAAAAGAGCTGGCATTATAGCTCAGTGGTAGAGTGTGCCTGGGTTCAAATCCTAGTATCACCAAAAAAAAAAAAAAAAAAAAGCAGACAGAAAACAAACAAGCAAGCAAGTAAGCATACATTTCACTTGAAGCTTTCTTACCTTCCCCACTGGTGAACTCGATTCTATGCTGATATACATAGAGGGGAACCTCAGAGGTAATGGGTGCAGATTACTTCCCTCATCGACCTGGGATCTCTTGTTCTGAGCTGGCACTGGAGGTCTGGGTTAAATGTGGGCAATCCCAGATCCTTCTCTCTGTTCTGGAAACATGACTCCTACAGCGAACTTCCTGCAGCTGTGCCTCGCTGAGCAGACCTGTGGCTGCAGTGTTGGTTCTCCTCCCAGGCCACCCTTATCATGTCTCTTTTCCACTTGGACAGAGGCTGAACTCATCCACCGCCAGCCAGTTTTATGCCACCCTCTGTGATCTGGCCCGCCCCAACACCCCAACCCATTATCTCTTTAGACCACTCCCCTGTGCTTCTCATCCTGGGAGCTGGTGAGTTCTAGAACTTTCACATCCTGTTTCCAAGTCTCTGAAATATCATAAATTATTATAAGTATCATGCATCTGCTTATTTTTAAAAATATGTTCTGGGAGAACAAATAAATGCTTATGTCTATAATTGCGCATGCACTTTAGGATTCCCTGAAGTAAAAACTGGGGGGGGGGGGGGTGTACCTTAGTGGTAAAGCACACAAGCATGTGTGAGGCCCTGGGTCAATACCCAGCACACAAATAAAAAACAAACAAAACCATTTATATTTGAATGTGATGTCAAAAGATCTGGCTGTGGTCAGATGGGCCGGATCTTTTTTCTGAGACTGTTCTGATACCTCTGGGGGCAGGAGTTTCTGGAATTAGAAGCCTGAATTCCAGGCTATGTAATCAGGCTATGTAATCTTCAGTGAGTGAGTGAGTAAATTTCTCTATGCCTCAGTATCCTCCTCTGAAAAATGGGAATTAAAAATGTTATTTATTTCACACAGGGATGATGGGAAGATAATGAGAACATCTTTGTGAAAACTGCGGAGTTCCTGGCACAAAATAGGTTTTCGCTAAACATTGGTAAATGTTATTATTTGAGTTGATTTCTTCTTACGAACAATGATAAAGATACAACCTCTCTTGTGTATTTGCAGTTAGAAGTTGGGGATGTGGCTCAGTGGTACAGCGTCTGCCTAGCAGTTACCAGGCCCATTTGTTCCAACACCGTGTCTCCTCTCATGCAAAAAGACATTTTCATGGATTGAGATTAGACTTTTTTTTTTTTAATTTGATTAATGAAGAGTTTTATTTCTCATTTCTAAAATGAAAATGCATGGCTAAATAATGTAAAAATATAATTGTTACCAGCTACTCTCACTTGATACAAATGCCAAACACTTCTGGTTGTGTTGTATGAGTTTTCTTTATTCACCAGAATAGAGAAAAATGATAGGATGACTGAACCAGTGTGGTTCTCAGTAGAAGAATCTTGCTCTCAGCAAATGTATTGCCAGGTTCTTTCTTTACGTGTGAAAAGTTGTAACAGTTCATTATACACAGGTATAGCACTAAATATGCAATAAAATATTTTATTAAAATATTTCTTTTTTTCCCCCAATTTCACGAATGAATACCTGGTTAAAACAAATCTATTCTATAATTTTTTCCCTACAAAAAAATTATCATTGGTTTATGGTTTTGCTTGTATTTAACTTGTGATTTATTTTGGGTTTTCAATTAAATAGATATAACTGAATTAATGTGCCATTACAGTTGACCTTCTATATCCGTGGATTCTGTGTCTTCACATTTAGCTGATTTAGGATAAAGAGTATTTAGAAAACTGGGTACAGTGACACCAGCCTGTAATCTCAGCAATTTAGGAGCCTGAGGCAGGAAGATTGGAAGTTCAAGGTCAATCTGAGTCAATTTTGAGACCCTGCCTCAAAAATTTTAAAAGGGAGGTGGTGTATGTAGTAGAGCACCTCTGAGTTCAATCCCTGGTAGGGGGGAAAAGAATCATCTTTATGCAGCTAAATTTTATATTTGTGTCTTCATCTTGCACCTCTTCCCTGAACCCAGATCCTGCCCAGTAGTTAAAACAAAACAGCGAGTTGTCTTTACCAAACAAGTAGAATTTTTTTTTCCTGTCATTAATCCCTAAACAACAGCATAAATTATTTACATAGAATTTACATTGTATTTGGTACGTGGAAGGTTGTGTGTAGTTTACATACAAGTACAACACTGTTTTACATAAGGAACTTGTAGATCTTGATATTCAAAGGAGAGGTTCTGAAACTAACTCCCAAGGAAACCAAAGGAGAACACTATAGTCATATAAATATAAAGAACTTATACCTAGGTGTTTGGGGGCACATATTTTGGTGACATTTCAGTAAATAATGTGAACCAGTACTGGGGCTCCAGGTCCCGTTACTCAGGTGAGAAACTTGGCTGGAGAGCACTTCACCTTGGTCCCACTCTAAGGGCTTCTCTCCATGCTTTCAAAAAAAAATTCTTGCTGTCCTTGACCTGGAAAAGTCTGCTTTTCTCTCTTCCACATATTAAAATTCTAAGCGCTCCTCTGGGATCAGCTGAAATCCCATTTTCTGACAACTTCAATTTTCATTAATCTCTGTCACCAGAATTGCAGCAACACTTAAATCTGTGCCACATAAGGCAGCACTTAGTTATGTAGTTTGCTATTGTCCACGAGTCCTATGATGCCTGTCTCTACAGTCAGGTTTTAAGACTGCTCAGAGTGGGCTGGAGCTGTATCTCAGTGGTAGATCACTTGCCTAGCATGTGGGTTACCCTGGGTCCCTTTCCCAGCACTGCCGGAAAAAAGAAGCTTTGCTGAAAGTGGGTTATGTCTTGGGCTTTGTCTCCAACTTCAATTCCAAAGTGGCCCTAGTAACTATAAAAAGTGACTGTGCATTGCTAGAAAGTATAGTCAGAAACCGAGTTTTTTTCAGGTTTTGGTTTAAAATTTTTCTAATCTGAGACCCTCAGTAGTTTCTCAAACAGGAATGAATTGTCAACCTACAGTCCTGAAATAGCCACACAAACTTGAATGGACCAGAAAACCAGTGGCCTAGCTGTGGCTTTCCTTGTCCTGAGTCAGACATCATATTTGTTTCTTTCCTTGTCCTGAGTCAGACATCATATTTCTGTAAGCAATGACTTGAGACAAGTCTCAGATTGTGTGTGTGTGTGTGCATGCACATGCGCGCGCGCATGTGCGCGCACACACGCACACACGCACACATAGAGACAGATGTCCATGCATTGGTTTTCCTATTCCTAACCTGAAAGTATAAGGTAAACCAGGTATGGTGGCACACACCTATGATTCCAGCCACTCATGAGGCTGAGTTAGGAGATCAAGTTCAAGGTCAACTTGGGCAACTTAGAAAGACCCTGTCTCAAAATAAAATAAAAAGGTCTGGGTATGAAACTCAGTGGCAGAGAACTTGTCTAGCCTGGGGTTTAATCCCCAGTACCACACACACATTGGCAAGATTAGAAGATCTCCAAAATACCTTCTTGCTCCAAAATTCTATAAAGTGTTGGTATATATGCTTATTTATTTGAAATTAGCATCCACAAATAAGTGTGAGTATCAGAATTTCACCTGGGATAATGTCCAGAAGTCAAGCTCAATAATTCAACAGCGGTACTTGAAAAGTTTCAGATGGCTTCTCTGTCAAGTGTGTTATTACACTTAGCGCTTATGAATTCCTGCTATAAAGCAACTAGATGACAGAACTTAACTCTCTTGGCTTTCCCCGTTATTCAGAAACTGAGTTGCATTTCCTGGCTCTCAAACTTCGTAAACTCATCAGATTTTTGCTTCAGAGAAATGTCATTAAAATAGTCCTCAGCAGAAAACACTAGCACCATTCACCATGAAATGCTGTAACAGTAACTGGTATTTTTAAACTGTGAATTGCATGTATTTTTCTATCTTGTACACAT